GAATTTTGAAAATGAAAACGAACCTGGTCTTTGGCGAAAACGACGATTTGGTAATTTGTCGCAGCAGCAATCAATACTTGCGCAGCAGAAATATCCCTCATGATGTCGATCGCCTCGGGCGCCAAAAAGCTCAAATTCGCCAGCGAAGCAGACGCCAACAAAAATCGCTCTTCGTCTCCCCCGTTTTTGCACAACTCTGCGCAGTGAAAAATGACGAAAAGATGATATAAATCTCGAGCTCCGTCCAAAAATGGTATAGATGAATTATGACCCATATATATATATATATTCTTTTCGACCGAAAACGGAAATCCTTCAGAATTTTTTCCTGACTCGTAGCCTTTGTTCCTGGTGTAAAAGATTCGCTGAAGCTCGAACTCCGTCGTGTCCTCCGACAAGTGTCGTAAATCTAACGTCCCCAGAAATATGAGAGGAAAGAACAAGACACGAAAGCAACTCGTTCTCAAAGACCTTCGGAGACACATTACAAGCGCTCAACTGTGAAACATGATGGGAAGTGAGAGGTAGAAAATATTACCACGTCAGGCGAAAGTAGGAAAGGAAAATCAGTGACATCTTCGGAATTGAAGACAATTATCTTTAAAAACAAAAACATCCAAATTTATTTTTTATAGAATCCTCAAAATTGTTTAAATTAAGCAAACGAAAATGTGGAGCTTTTTAAACATTTTCCAAATAACATTTACAGCGACGAATGGTTTTCAGAAATAGTAGATGTCATCAGTTGTCAAACTTCTCATTCTCATTTTTCGAGCTCCATGTGATATTGAGGGTTTATATTCGGTGAGTATGAGCTCATAAATTGCCACAGTGGCATTCCAGGAGAAACGTGGTTTCCAGCATCATTTTCAGAGGAAAATTAGATAATTAGAAGATTGAACATACTACTTCCAGTACGCCAGCAATCTCGACACCGATTAGCGTCATTTTCCCAAGATTTGGAAATTACAAGTTTCTAACAGAGTCTCTCTAAGGTTCTTGATCTGTTTAAGTTCATAACAGTTTGAAAATTGATGTGAATTGCTCTCGAACCGGAATTTTTACAATTATTTAATAGTTGCCAGTGAATTCGTCTCTGCAGGAGACTTGATCATCCGCGACAAATAACTACCTTCTTCAACTTCGAACTCGTTACGTAGACAAAAAAAAATGTACGCTTTTTTATGCTGAAAATTTTCTTTTCAGTTTGGAGAAAAAATTTTTTGAATACAATGATGAATGAAATTACCTGTGAGAGCGACGACGATCCTTCGAAGGTGGTCCTGAAGCCCGCCCAGGTGATGGTTCTCTTCGATCCAGGGTGAAGTGACCTGGGCCAACACACCCGCAGCTTCTGTTCGTTCTTGTTGCAGACGTTCGTCTCCACGAATACAATTAGTTCTGCTTGTCGTCGGATCGTCACCAATGTCGCACAGAATATCCGCCAGTACCTCGATCCCTCCAGCCTGAATCAATAAATCAACAAAAAATACCCGTATATTTACTCGAGTACGATTTTTTTCCCAACTTTTTTTTTAAATAAAATTGAATGAGAGGGTCCGCGTCATGAGCATTTATTCATTTTTTCAAAAATTTCAAAAATTTCAAAAGTTCAAGTGCTCGTAACATGTGATCCTTGTGTAGAAAAATTTAACAAGTAAATGTTCGCAATGTAAACAATTAACAAAATATTTCACAAATATCGGTATTGAATCGAATACGACTTTTAAATTTTTCAAAATCAAATTGAAAGAAAAGAGGGTCGTCATCACGAGCGGAAAGATTAAAAATTTCAAGTGCTCTTACAGTACGTGATCATTTTTGAAAAGGTTCAAATTAATTCGACGTTCGTTCAATTCAAGTTGAAATTTTCATTTTCATGCATTTATAATTTTCATAACTTCGCGGTTCTTCAGTCACTAAAAATATGGCGTGTGCGTCTTAGTCCAGGGCACGTGGTATTCGAGTAAATACAAGAAGTGTAAAAGTTGAATAAAATGTGTTTCTTCATGTTCGGAATACTTTACTGTAAAAATAGAAGAAGTCATTTCATGCTTCACGTCAGGCAGTACATGCTTTGAGAACATGTTGAAACCTTGCATGGAAAAGAAAACTATTCCTCATACTTCCGATCAGGGTTTTCAAGGTTCACTTCTCGAATTAATTCCTGCAGCACATGTTCACAGTATGAGAAAATCGGTTCAAGTTTTTAAAAGGGTACCCGCGATAAGGAAATACTTCACAGTTTTTTTTGTATGCCATCAATCAGGAAATGTTGGAAGTTTCTCTGATGACAGGGAAGAATGTTGTGAGAATGACACGTGGGTTCCAAGGACGAGCCATATTTTCTTCGCATCAATGAGCATCAAAAAGCCTGAAACTAACATCAAAAGGATGCTTCAGACTCGCTCTGGTTCAGTCGCAAAAACAAATTATCGTGTTCTGAGAATGCGTCAACATGATGCAAAGTAACCCATATGGTATCAAGTCATAAGGCATATAATTAAGACATGCACGAATGATCACGAATGCCCCCCTTCCTAGAAAATGGAACCCGGTTCTTTTCCAGGCGGAAAAATGTTTTCCATTCGAAACCGAGACAGCTGTGACAACTCTTTGATTTGCAAATCGTGATACTCCAACGAGGGAAACTGGAAGCGAATGGCAGTACAGTACAGTACTTCTTATTCAATGGAAAATTAGCTTTGAAGTTAAAAGTACATAAGGTACCCAAAAGTACTGTATTTTTCATAAGAAGTAATGTTTCTTTGTTGTGTGGCTTTTTTTGTGGAGAGAACTCAACAAGAAAAACTCAGTGAAGGGTTTTCCCTCATCAAAACTTTCATCTTTGGTTAAAAAGTTGTCTTCTTATACACCTTTGTTGTGAAGAAACATCAAGTGTCTTTTTATTCCTTTTTATCTTTTCTTATTGTATATCTTGAGTTTGTATTCGGATTCGTGCACATTTTGTTTAACTCTCTTGTGTAGTGTTCTCAGTGTTCCTCGTGAATTTTGTCACTTTTCTCCATCAAATTACGGTACTTAATAAATAGTTCTGAAAAAAAATGGAATATACGGTATATTCAAGGTGTACCTGTCAATATACTGTATTTTCTTTCCTGCAAAGTGGCTGATTGATTTGGCTTTATTTGATTCACACTGTCTTTACCAGCCCTTCTTTTGTTTGGTTTGTGTAATGCCCAGGAGCTTTTGTGGAACACACAAGTATATTCATGAAGGATAGATGTCAGCCCAAGTATCCAATAAAAAATCATCACGCCCTTTTAAATTTCTCTTCGGAAATTAGTGCCTTCAATCAAGTTTTCGTCGCCGCAAGAACAGTAATCTATTTAAACCCAAGATTTTGTGATATTCTTTTGAAAAAAAAAATCCATGATTTCAAACCTTGATGTCTAAAAAATTCTTGTAGATTTTTGTGAAATTTTAAAACAGCCGAAATACAGTATACTTTTCCGGGTGAAAAGTGGACTTCAATAAGTATCCATGACTTAACTAAGAGATCTGACTGATAGCAAGTTTTATTTTTAGCGTGACCCCAGGAGACAAAGAATAAGATGATCGCTTTACTACAAATACATTTTCATACTTCAAGTTACAAACATTAAAATACTGTTCGAATAAATATAAACCCTTTCAGTTTCCCACTCGCGTCCTTTCCATATAACATGCTACTCGTCCTTGAGGAGAAAAATTAGTGAGTAAATGGCATCCGCTAACGACTATAAAAATGTTCCTGCGATTGAAAGTATGATGGGTCTCAAGGGAACTGA